AGATGACTCTTCTAATCTTCTACCTGCAGAGTAAGAACCTGGTTGCCAGGACTCCCAAAGTGGGGTGGGAAATGATTGATGAGGTTCCCTAACCCTATAGGTACACCCATCTTAGTTGAACACTCTTTTTTTTTAATATATATTTTATTGATTTTTTTACAGAGAGGAAGGTAGAGGGATAGAGAGCTTGAAACATCGCTGAGAGAGAAACATCAATCAGCTGCCTCCTGCACACTCTCTACTGGGGTTGTGCTCGCAACCCAGGTACATGCCCTTGACCGGAATCGGACCTGTGACCCTTCAGTCCGCAGGCTGATGCTCTATCCACTGAGCCAAACTGGTTAGGGCTTAGCTGGACACTCTTGACCTGCCCCATTCTTTTGTTTTTAGAATCCAACTCTCTCCAATTTTACCTCCCATATATCTGATTATTTTTTCTCAGTCTCTTTATAGACCTCCTTTTTTATTTAGTTTTTTGTTGTTTGTTTTCTTGTCCCTTAACCTCTTCCTTGACCTCTTCTTTTGGTCAACCAGGATTTAATTATCTTCTTGTTTTAGTGGTCAGACATCTCTCTACTGTGTTTCTCTAGTTTCCCTGTCCATCTGATTTCTCCCAGGGTCTGTTGGAGTTCTGTGTATCTGCTGTCTGCCTTCATGAAGTACTAAAGGGATGTGCTGAGTACAGAATGTGACACAGAGAAATAGTCAAGGTCAGAGGTGAGAAAAATCATCAGAGCTCAAAGGTCACCAGCTGTTTCAGCAATGTTCCAGGCCTGGAGGGAGATGCTGACACAGATGGTGACCAAGCCTGGGTGCAGATGTGGCATTCCTGTGTCTTACTGCTGCTATTCCTTATCTGTGATGCCTACTTCCATGATGTTACTCCACTGCAAGGAGCCCTTTCCCAACACAAAGTAAATGGATCACTGAGTAGTGGGGGGTATATTAGTCCTATACTAAAGGCTGCTCTGGTCCCATATAACAAAGCTAAGAGTAAGTCTCAAAAGGATTAGACTGTTTATAAATAACTTACCTTTATCTCAGAACAAAGTTCAAAAATATTTAATAGGAAAACAAAAAATATTGAGCACCCAACAAAGTTCACAATGTCTGGCATTTAATTTTAAAAAATTACAAAAATGCACAGAATTGGGAAAATACAGCCATATGATGACTACAATCAATCAATAGAATTAAACCCAGAAATGTCAATATAAGTTAGCAACAGATTAGCTACTGAAGAATAAAAGATTAGTGCATCTGAAGACAGAGCAATAGAAACTATCCATAAAAAAAAAAAAGATTGGGGGGGAAAAAACATCGATATTAGATATTAGGGATGTTGCAATATAAGTTCAAGCACCCTAATATACATGTCAGTGAAAACTCTGAAGGAGAGTGCAGAAGACAGAAAAACTACTTGAAGAAATAATGGCTGAAAACTACAAATTAGATAAAAATTATAAACCCATATAGATCAAAGAAACTAAAAAAACAGCAACAACCAAGTATAAGACACACGAATAAAACTACACCACATAACATGATAAATGGTTTAAAAATGGTGATATGAATATAAATGACCTGTTAATCTGCCCCATCACATCCCCTTTGGACAGAAACTGACTGAGCTAAAGACACAGTACCCCTGGAACATTGCCAGAATATGAAGTTCAGTGTCTGTCCCATTCCAGACTCTTTAAATGAATTTGATCAGCCCTAAAATGTGAGATCCAGTCTCAGGTAGCACAAGCTATCACCAGATTTCATCTGAACAACCTGCCATTTACTATCCAAAACTGTTCCATTTATTTTCTTTGCCTGCCTGGCCTGTCAATCTTCCTGAATTTTAATCTATGCACACGTCCTTTTTACTTACACAATGTATTTGGGCAGGATTTTCTGGCTTTAGTTTTCAGTGTTCTCTCCAGACCTGATTTGGTAATGTCCTCTGTCCCAACTCAGGACTTACCCCAGATAGGCCAACCACCTTTCCTACCAGTTTTCTTGTGAAAATTTTCCAGGAAATTATAAGAGTAGATCTTAAAAGTTGTCAGCACAAGAAAAAATAATTGTAACTATGTGAAGTGAAGGATGTTAACTAAATTTAATTCTAGTAATCATTTTGCAATACATACATATATCAAATTGATTAGGTTATACGCCTAAAATGAATACAATGTTGCATGTCAATTACATCACAATAAACAAAAATTACCAGAAAGAAGTTAAACTTTCTGGCCATGTGGCCAGATTCCAGGCAATATTGGAATCCACCTCAGTGCTATGAAAATTGTGTCAAGTTGAAAGTTGAGAATTTCAATTGCCTTTGTTATGTAAATCTGAAGGTTGAATTGAAATATGTTTTCACATCAAATATGCCTTATGAGAAATACCTGTCTTCTTGCTGTCTCAATCAAAATTGAGCAATAACATCCAACTGCTGTGCCTCAGTGGTTGAGCATTGACCTATGAACCAGGAGGTCAGGGTTCCATTCTCGGTCAGGGCACACACCTGGTTTGCAGGCAAAATCCCCAGTAGGGGACATGCAGGAGGCAGCCGATCAATGATTCTCTCTCATCATTGATATATCTATCTTTCTCTCCCTCTCTCTTCCTCTTTGAAATCAACAAAAATATGTTAAAATTTTTTTTAATTGAGCAATAACTAGTAGTACTATTGACACAAATACCAATTCTACAGCAAGGCACTTTTGTATAAATAAAGTTGAATAAAATATTTTGGGACATCTTTTGTATTACTGCAAACATTAATCTTTTTAATTGCTTGCTTCTACAGTGGTCATTAAAAAATTAGCCTTCCACAAACATGGGTTCCTGATCATACTGATCTTTTTTAAAGACACTCAGACACACTTCTGCTGTATTAAAAATACTTACATGTCTATGTAGAGCCATGTGTGGCTTATGTGTACAACCTTAACATAAGTCAGAATGTGTGGTACAGCTTTGGTAATCCCAACAGAGGCTAAGTAAGACCAAAGCAGTTCTGGAACACAGCTTTATTTTTATGCTAGAGGCTCAGAGTATGAAATTGTGCGGCCCCACCCACCTACATGCACCTCCCCATGTGGGCGCCACCCCACCGTGCTTGCAGCCTCACCCACCCACCCACCTGCCACCCCGTCTCACCACACCCATCCACCCGCCGCCCTGCCGGCCGCCAGTCTTGAGCCGTGAGCCCCGCCACCACAAGCAGCTTGCGGGCCAGGGGGAGGGACTGAGAGGTGCTCCATGCACCTCCTGGTGACTGGTCATTTGGTCGTGCTGGCATTATGGCATTACAGCCACTGGCCTTTTATAATATAGACTAGAGGCCCGGTGCACAAAAATTTGTGCACTGGCGGGGGGGGGGGGGGGTGGCGGTGTCCCTCAGCCCGACCTGTGCCCTCTCACAGTCTGGGACCCCTCAGGAGATAACCACCCTGCTGGCTTAGGCCTGCTCCCTGGGTCGCAGATGGCAGGCCCAGATGGCAGCGGGCGGGCAGCAGATTGCACTGCCCCACCCAGCCTGCAGTATGCAAATTTAACGGTCATCTTTGTTGGGTTAATTTGCATACTCTTCTGATTGGCTGATGGGCGTAGCAAAGGTACGGTCAATTAGCATCTTTGTCTCTTAATTGTGTAGATGGGTGAGCATTTGGACCCACAGTGGGGCAACCAGGAAGGAATGAGAAAATTAAAAATGGTTTTAGTCTCAAGGAATTCATAATCTAGAGGTAAGACAAGAGTTAAGCAAAGTTGAATGAGGTAAATTAAGTACAAGCATCAGGCTGAGGGCTTGAAGAGATGAAATTTATTACGTTTGTGGCAGGAATTCAGTTCCACTAAGTAAGACAGGGAGTGAAAGGGAATGTGGGTAATCAGGGAAAATAGTCTGGGCTTCAACCAGCTGCTGATGCTGAGTTTTGAAATTCTGATGGCACTGAAGCTAAATCTATGTGATTTGTGGCTTAGTGAAAAGGTGTCTCAGTATTTCCTGTGGCCCTTGAAAACTGTTGGATCCTGAGAAGAATGCTTCCAGTTAATCTGTACAGTCAGGCCAGCCTCACTCTATCATGAACATACTCAGGACACCTCGCAAGTTGTGCAGGGAACCACACAAACCCCTATATTTCTCCTCAGAGGCTGCATGTGCAAGCCACTTAGTTTAGATTTTGTCACTTTTTCTGAAATTATACACTTTATTATGCTGTTTATTATCATTAGTAAGAATAATAAATTGACCTTAAAAGATAGCAAAAAGGGAAAACGAATTATTTAATATATGAACCAAGTATAATAAATGTTTGTAAGTAGATTAAAAAAGAGGTGGTCAATGCATAAATTGAATAAAATTACCTAGTTTGGTAAAGGTGGAGATTCTGATTTAAAATAGAAGAGTGATATACATGAAATAAAAAGGTGACATATTTTATTTTATTTTTTTCAAAAAGTGACATATTTTAAAGCTCTTTCCACATCTGATGGTTGTTTTTATTTTCTTACTCTTTTCTTTCTTTCCTTTTTAAAAGATTGATTGTAGGTGGTCAAACAAAAGGGAAATGTATAGCCCTCACAAAAACTGATTCCAAATTTTTTTTAAAGTAAACTTACTTTCACTTTAGTAATTATTTATGAGGGTTTCCTTTCCTCAAAACACTGTGGAAAAAAAATAGTGTAATTGTGTGTAAGTAGTTTAAATGAGAATTTATATTCATTCTAAAAATGTTGATAGTGTCTTCACTTAAAAACAGAACTAAGTCCAACTTAAATACCTGTTGAACATTTACCATGTGTAAGGCACTGTGTAAGAGATAAGATGATAAATAAAGCAAGGTTTTCAAGAATTTATAACCTTCTAGAGAAGAATAAGCCAAGTATAAAAATACCTAAATTATAAGATAAGGCAAGATATGCTTTATTAGGAAGGTACAAAGTTCTATGCAATTTTTTTTTAAATATTGGAAAAAGTTAACAGTTTATTATAATTTATTATATTTAACAATCTAGGAAGTTCGCAGCCATCAGCAGTTCCAGTGCAATTTCAGGTGCAATTGGGAATTCAGGAATTTCCGTGGAGCTGTTAGTGTAGCGAACCGTGTAAGTAAAATACATGCACACTTTTGATAGCAGGTGTGAAGGGATCTCTCTAAAATTGACTTCATTAGTTTCCTTCTCAGCAAATTGACCAGGGCCATTCAACATGGCTTTTATTGTTTCTGATGCTAATGCATGTTCTCTTTTTACAATAAATTCATGACCATCTGAAGATATCAATATGACATACATGGCATCAGGGCCTTCACAGCCACCATAGGTTTTCTCTTCTCCATCCATTATGTTCTTACGAAATTCTACTTCGCTTGCACAGGAAGTTTAGTAGTTTCTCGTCAGTCCCGCAGCCGCCACAGCCACCGCACCAGGTCCCTGTGCACCTCCACAGCCCCCACGCCAGGACCACACCCCCACCTCCCAAGTTCTGTGCAATTTATAGATGAAAAGATTATTATCAAGAATCAAATCTCACTGATTCAAACTACAATTTCAGATATATGCTCCCATGAAAAAAATTGTATGGTTGGGAAGATATACCACATGTAAGTACCAAGTATGTAAGTACCAAGAGGTGAGAACTTTGTTTTGCTCATTGATGTATCCGTAGAGCCATGAAGATCCCTGTTATAAAGGAGTGGCTGGCCTTTATTGTGCAGGAGGCAGTAGACTGATGATGTTTCCCATCGATTTTCTCTCTATTCCCTCTCCCTTCCTCTCTCTCTAAAAATCAATTAAAACATTTTAAAAAAAAACAATAAAAACAAAACCAAAGGAAGTGCTCAATAAATATTTAAATGAATGAATAGAATTTGAAGAACAAGTTGAGTTGTCTGCCTCTGTTCTAGTTGCAACTCCTTGAGCTGCTTGACTTGGACGTTGGAGGTAGGTTAGGCAAGCATGCCCTATTAGTTGCATTCAGGGGTTCTGTTCCTTGTAATTTTGACAAAATAGAACAACAAAAAAATCACTATTGTGCTAAAGGAGAAATGTTAACTGCATGCAATGACCATAGTATAATTGGTTGCTTTTAGCAGAAGTTGGTCTGGACCTTTGATGGTTAGTATTTTTATCACCAACTCATCCATAAGTAGGGAAGGTTACAGAGCATGTGTCAGAAAGCTTAGGCCTAGCTCAGTTCTAACATCCTTGCCTTGGAAACGAGGGGAGTGCCTTCTAATCTCGAAATATGTTTCCAGGTCACCATCATGGGTCTTTTGTAACTGGCCTCCATTTTCTAATAAGCAATTGGAATGCATGAAGCCTCGTAGACATGGGAAAATATGTGTCTTTCCAATCCTCCATTCCCACTAAACCTTTATGGATTCCTAGAAGAGGTGTTAATCTGTGACAAATCATCTCTTACCTCACTTGTACTTTTAGATCTCTAATGATAAATTCATTCGTCAGAGACATACTAAATAGGTACTTACCTGTTACACAGATACACAGGCACGGTCCCTGTTTTCAAGGAGGCCATAATTTAATGAGGAAGTCAAACAAGTAAATGAATAATTATGATGCATTATGATAAGTGCTATAATAGAAATGTATATAGATCTTCCAGCTGTAACACTTTTTCTTTCATCTATGTATATAAAAGGCTAATATGCAAAGTGTCCCCTCAGTAGTTCGACTGGGAGACCAGGAGTTCCATCACTCACTATGACGTGCGCTGACCACCAGGGGGAGGTGCAGAACAAAGGAAGGCCCTGGCTAGCAGCTGGCAACTGGGGAAGGGTGGTGCCAGCCAGCAGCTGGCAGCCAGGGAAGGGACACCCTGGCTGGAAGCCAGAAGGAAGGCCCTGGCCGGCAGCCAGAAGGCCCCTATCAGCCCTGATCACCGGCCAGGCCTAGGGACCCTACCCATGCATGAATTTCATGCACCGAGCCTCTAGTTTACTTAAAAATGTACACATTTATATATTAGAATCATAATTGCTGATAAACCCAGATTAAATATAAGGAAGCATTTATGGGTCATGAATTAAGAAATAAATGCCTTGAGTTTAATCCCCTGTGTTGTTCAATATATGAGTTGTGACATGAGAAATACTACCTGTTCATGCCATGTCTCCTTGTTGGAACTTACCTAGCATCTACAGCTATTGTTTTAGTTTTTAATTATGTTTCACTAGGAAGTCTGGTCTAAATATATGCCTTTATATCTGTATGAAGCCCTCATGTTCTCATATTACGTTACTATCAAGTGGGATTCCTAAGTTCAGGTGATACCACTGCTTGTGAACCTGACTCTTCCTCAGTAAGAGGATCCCATCTGTGCTGATACAGGCCCTCTTTATTTTTAGGACAGTTATTGCTATGGTTACTGTGAGCCACAGCATCGGCCTTCAGTATTGTGTCGCTGAACAGTTAGTATTTCTCATGGAAATTTTGTAGCAAGAGAATAAATGAAATAAAATACTTCATACATATAGCACTAGAGGAGCTAGAATCACAAAACATTCACTTAATTGTGAATTTCATTTATTGCAAAGACTTTAAAAAAATCTTAGCTACTCAACAAGGTAAAAATGATCAATGTATTTAAAATAAGTAAATTTAGAAAGATGTTTGGTTAATTACCAAGTTAGCAGAAAAATGTAAGTTGGATGCTATTATTTCCAAATTCAGTTCAGGAATTGAGTAATTAAAATTAGAGTGGGTGGGACATTTGCAGGGGGGGGGGGTACTAAGTGCTTTATTAAATGAGATTTAATTAGTAACTTACAAATCCTATGATTGGTAAAAATCTAAAAGCAAAATACTTCTTTTTAACCATAATGTGCTTTAAAGAGCATTGGAGCATTATTAATAATGGTCTTTTCCGTTTTAAAACAGAAAATGAAACATATGGCATTTCAAAATGCCACAGAGTCTTCTGACTTACATCTGAGCTGTAGATAATTTTCTTATTTTGTAACGATTCTCAGAAACATGTCTTTAGCAACAACCAAAATTCTTTCCAGTTAGTTTTGTAATATGTGATGACATTTCAAGAGTTACTTCATCTTTTGGCATATGAGATTAAACAGAAAAGTGTACAGAACTTGAGACAAAAGATTTTGTCATTTTCTAATGGCTAAAGCCATGTTTTAAATTGTTTATATGTATCAAAGGTAATTCAATAAAGTACAATATGAAATTTAATCTTTATATGAACTCGCATTTTGAATAGTTTTTATTTTTTATTATATTTTTATTGAATTTATTGGGGTTACACTGCTTAACAAAATTATATATGTTTCAGGTGCACAATTGAATAGTTAAATTATATATAATATTTATAACGTATAATAACATAATACTATATAAAATACAGAACATATTTTATATTTAACATAATACATAAAATTAAATAAAACTCCTCTTTGCAGTAAATTCTTTCTGATAGAATTATTGGCAGGTAAATGCAATTTCCATGGAGTGTTTTAGTCTCTGAGTCTCTGAAGCTGATGTTCTGACCCAAAACAAAAATAAAAACAAAAGCAAAAAAAACCTCAAAACAACCCTGTGCACTACATCCTCCTCTCTGAAAACTGATACTGATGGTAAACCAGGACTCAACTGGAAGATTCCATTCTTATTAGCACATCTATTTGAATTTGAATATTTTGCAACTCGAGAGATTCCGATAACACATGAGGATTTTTTTTTTTTTAAATATATTTTATTGATTTTTTACAGAGAGGAAGGGAGAGAGATAGAGAGTTAGAAACATCGATGAGAGAGAAACATCGATCAGCTGCCTCCTGCACATCTCCTACTGGGGATGTGCCTGCAACCCAGGTACATGCCCTTGACCAGAATCGAACCTGGGACCTTTCAGTCCGCAGGCTGACGCTCTATCCACTGAGCCAAACCGGTTTCGGCCACATGAGGATTTTATTATGAAACTTTGTAACTCATGTTGACAACTGAGTGAGAGGCCATATAAAATAACATTTAATTTTTCTTGATAACCTACCTGGGTGTTATATAGTAAACTATACATTAAAAAAAACACTTTAAAAATCTGATGAATTCCTTAAGTGCTATTTTTTAACGACACTGAATACTGTGAGGAGAAATCACATTAAACCCCAATCTTTGTCTTAACATTCTATATGTATTATGTAAATATTATCATCTATGTACACTAAGAATAAACAAATATAGAAGTTAAAGAAGACAAAGGTGAAACATTTTTTAAAAATGTTTTGCTTAACATGATGATTATATCCTATCATTAGTTAATATATCAATATACTCTCAGGGCAAGGCTCATTGTACTACTGATAGTGAGTCCAAGTTCATACTTTGGTCTTCTTGATGATGATGATGGTGGTTATTATTTTTGCTTGACTTCTCTTTCGTGATTAGGTCATTGTATGTATCTGATAATGTTCTTGACAAAGAGTTCATAGCTGTTATTTTCTTCTTGTTTGCTTATTCTTGCATTAGCAGTTTCTTTGTAAAAATCTTCTTAAGCTACTTATCTACTTCAAGAAGGTTAGTTTCGTTAAACATAGATTATAAATTCCATGTACACAGATCAAGTACAGTCTGTAAAAATTTGCTGAAAAGTCCCTTTGTTCGCCCCTGCAATTTTAAAATATATTTTTAAAAACCCTAATATAAAGCATTTTCCTTTCCACAGTTTCATAAGGTCTACATTTGATTGAAGCAGCAAGTGGATGACGATAAATACACCCTACTGTACACCAAGTTCTGCTTGTTTCTACTATTTCCATTATACCAATATCCTGTAATCCCTTTTTCACCTTTTTCATTTTCTCCTAATGTGTTTCTTCCACCATATTAACTTTCCACATGCATAAATTCCTATTCTTTCCATGCCTTTGTCTTGGTACACATTTTTAAAAATATGTATTTTTATTGATTTCAGAGAGGAAGGGAGAGGGAGAGATAGAAACATCAATGATGAGAATCATTGATTGGCTGCCTCTCGCATACTCCACACTAGGGTTTAAGCCTGCAACCTGGGCATGTGCCCTGACTGAGAATCAAACTGTGCCTTCATGGTTCATAGGTCGACGGTCAACCACTGAGCCACGCCAGCCCGGCTTTGTACACATCTTTTATATCACTATAAAAAAATGTGTGTATCATTTTTTTTGGTATGTCAAAACACAGTTCCCTTCAAAGTATAGTTGTACAGTAAAATTACTGTATTCACCATTGTCTCTTTTAATAAAACATTACATGCCATACCTTAGATTTTTTTAAAGGACAATGGTTAGTTACAACTAATTGTACCATTTTGTAGAAAAGGAACTAAGGAAAACCTGGAATCATCTCTTAAAGATTTCATAATAATACTTTAGGTTGCAATGTATTTGAGCTCGTAAGATTCTAGCTGATGCACTCATTGAGGTCC